ATTTTTTATTTGGCAGGTAATTATTAATTTTTTTTTAAATTATTGCTTAGGATACCGAAAAGAGCGTATCATGCTTTGCAGTACGTCATATCCGTCCAAAGGGAATTCAAACGGGAATGGTAAGAACACCTCACCATCGATATCCATATGTTCGTGTTCAAGAAATAATCGCGGCTGTTGCATCGTCAATTCAGGCAAATCCAAGAGCTTCGATTCGCAACTTATCGGCGTAAGTTGGAGTTAGCAGACCGTCATTTCAAGGGATAATTCATGATGACTAAAATCTGTGTCCATACAAAGTTCAAATAACAAGCCGGTTAAACCCTCTAGATTTGCCAATTCACCTGGAATTTTGCTAAAAAATCATTGGAATTACCGAAGAAGACAATAACTTGATAACGACTGGTGTATGGAGGTAGACCTACCCTAGAATCCCATCGAACAGACTCTAACTTGTCAGAATGGATTTGGTAGTTAGGGTTTCATACAATAGAGCCATATTCCAATATAGGTCTAACCAAAGTTGTATAAAGTGTTTTAGTAATATACGGATCTCTAAATTCTTTAGACCAACGTTTAACAAAACTGAGGACAGCTTTTGCTTTCAAGACCATGGTGTCAATATGAAGACAAATAATTAAGGGTCCATATTAACTCCCAAATCAACATAGTTAAAAGCTTGCTCCAGAATATGGTGTTTTATTACATAAGAAGAGGGGTGCACAGATCAACGGGAAAAGCACATCGTCTTACATTTATTCTGATTCAATGGCAAATCATTTCTATCACACCATGCAACCATATTGTTTAAGTCTGTTTGCAACAGACACCTTTCCTCAGTTGAAGTGTATGATTTAAAAAGCTTTACGTCATCCGCGTATAATAAAATTGTTGAGAATTCAATTACTGAAGAGATATCGTTAATAAACAACAAGAACAGAATCGGGCCAAGATGACTACCTTGCGGAACACCTGAAGAAACATTAATTGTATCTGAAGGTGTGTCTACAAATATCACTCGTTGTGTTCTATTATAAAGATAGGAAGCTACCCATTGAAGAAATCTTGGCTGAAAGCCCAGTAGATCAAGTTTATGTATGAGAATCGAGAGATTTACTTTATCGAAAGCTTTGCTGAAGTCTGTGTATATAACATCCGTATGCTTATGTTCCCTAAAACCCAATGATACATGGCAGAGATAAAGAGATGCCCAATTCGTCTCTCAATGGAAATGAGAGCGCAATTGATAAACGTCAAAACCTACTGAACTCAAGCAACTGTCAAAGTTCAGTAGGTCTGACGTTTGGCAATTGAAAAAAGGGGACGGCCAGATTAAAATCCTACAGAAAAATATGTAAACAGAGAGATTTGTGCTGCTGTGGAAGATCACTAATAAAAATTGGAAAGCAATGAAAATGAAAGAAAACGCGAAATTGAAATCTATGTGACGATATCTTTTGTGATGTCATGCTAAGTGGTATTGATTTTCAATTGAAAATTTTCAAAAACATTTATTAATTGAGAGCTAATACATTTATTCTTTTGATTACGTATTGAAAGTTCAAAAATCAATTGTTTAATATATCACAAAATCACAAAAAAAGAGTATAAAAACGTTTCTGCATATGATGGGTATTTTAATTTAAATTCCCAAAAATTATTATTTTGTCCGATCTGGCTACAATGTAAAATGTTATAAAAAACGCTAATCTTGAGGCGCTCTCACACTGGAAAGAGTTGGGCATCTCATTATCCCTGATACATGGTTTACAAATTGAGGCAAGTTTGTTAGAGTCGATATCCCTTTACGAAATCCATGCTGAGATGAGGAAATTAACGAAGAAATCGAAAAGGTTATATGGTCAGTGATGATAGCTTCAAAAAGTTTAGGTATAACTGATAGTTTTGCGATACCTCTATAGTTTTCAATGTTGGATCTAAACCCACTTTTATGCAAAGGAATTATAAATGACTGTTCCCATATTGAAGGAAATATACCGTGTTTAAGAGAGGAATTAAATATCCTTGTCAAAGGCAAGTAAATATTTTTGGTACTATTTTTTAGAAAGCATGAGGGTATCATGTCTGGGCCGTAACTAAAAGATGGTTTTAACTTATTTAATTTAAGTAGGACGTCTTCTTCAGAAATAATTGGAGCGTTAATTAAAGTATTCGAGCACAGCACGTGCCGATAAGAAAAAGTTTTGGAAGAATTATTACAGTAGTTTGACTTGAAAATTCTGCAAACATATTGGATATAATAACATTGTCAGTTGAAATGATAGATTTGTATTTCACCGCGGACGTAAATTTGGAAATCCTGCGTTTGGAGTTGACAAAATCATAAAACGATTTGGGATTACTTACAACATTCTTTTTTACTTAATTTAAATAATTATTATAACATTTTTTGTTTAGGTCAAAATATTGTCTACGCAATACGGAATATTGAGAATAGTCGACAAGTGAACCGGTTTTTTTAAATGTTTAAAGGCTCGAGTTTTTCTGCTTTTAAATTTATGTAACTCTTTCGACGACCACGGACTTCTACTTTTACTTTTATAAACTAATTACTATTGGAACATACTTTTTAAATAATTTCGTAATAATGTTATTAAAATGAGAGGCACTCAATTTAAGATCACCATTATAATTAGGCAATGATATTGTAGAAAGTTCTGTATGAACTTTTTAAAATTAGCTTTTGCAAAGTTGAACCGAGTACGGAAGCACGAAGTTTGATAATTATTATCACGTACATTGCTCATGATTTCGACAGTTATTTCCAAAGTAGGATGATACGAATCCTCTGGTAGAACAAGAGGATGGACACCGTTATTTAAAGATGTTGAATAGTTTTTAGTTTTTCGAGAACTGCGCTGCAGACGTATCCCTTTTAACAGCTTTTGGTTCCAGCAAGATGGAGCAACTGCACACATACATAGCCAGACCGGTTATTGCGGAGCTCCAACGAAAATTTGAAAACAAATTAATAGGTATCAAGAAACTTCACTTTCTTTTATGGTGCTTACAAAGAAAGTTCTGTCATCACCAGCGATTTCGGACACTGCGACAAACTTCGTGGAAATAAAATTTAAAAAATAAAAATAAAATTAGTGGAAAAATCGGGTATGACCAAGGATGCGTGGCAAATTATATTTACGTACTCAGTAACAATGCTGTCCCTAGTTACATTTACAGGCTCTCAACACGTACATATGCACCAACTGCATAGTTGGTAAGCTATGCTGATCACCAAAGTCACCTGACCTGACTGCAGCAGACTTTTTTTTATGGGGTTATGTCAAGCAAGAGGTGTACAAAGCAGTCCATTAAATCGATAATTGAGGCAACCCTTCAGGCCGCAATGAATAATTTTCTAATTAGGTGTCGCATGTGCGTGGCTGAGCATGGAGGTCATTTACGGTCCATAATTTTTAAAAATAATTAATTATATAAAAAAAAATAAAATTTGCTATACAATAAAAAAATAATAAATGTAATGCATTTATTAAAAAAGAGTTATTACGGTTTGTTTTTGTAGCACGATTCGTGCGCCCCCCTGTAGTTGTGCGCGTGTTTAAATCGAAGTTAAAGGAACTCATATCTGACATTTGGAATACAGAAGTTTTTGAAAATTACAAAATTGTCTAATTTTAATTCAGCCAAACAAATGCGTAATTTGTTTGCGATTATTTGTGGTTTAATATTTCAGCAAACGCATTAGCATTTCGGTTGGAATTTAGTGGCCATAGTGTAGATGTTTGTTTCAACAGAGCATTATTGGAAATCGGGAATATTTTGTTAACATATAGAGGGTATTCACACGTTGTCATATTGTGTCACATCCTCATATTGTCTTATTTTTCTATGACTATCATATCAACCCTATTTTTGTTTCCCATGCAAAATTGAAATACGACAAATACAACACGGCGATGTATGTTTTTTGAGTGTGCTATTCTATCAGCTGTATCTGTTTACTTTTTTTATTGTTGACGTTTAAGTGTCTAAAATTAATAAATTAAATAAATTTCATCAATTTCTTTAATAATATGGAAGGAAGCCACGATATTCAGATAAATTAAGTTGAAAAAAAGTGAAATATAAAAACGGTGCTAAAGTGGAGTGGGGCAGAAGAAACAGCGCTTGTGGGGTTCCTGATGGAAAATAAAAGTTTCGAGGTTTGTTATTTCTATTTTTAAACAGAAGAGAAAGTTAAATTATTTTTATTGAAAAGAAACTAACGGCTCAAAACTTCTATGGTCGGTTTATCGAAGCAACGTAAGTAACGGTAGAAGGAAAAGTAATGCGCACAAAAGTTTGCAACGTGCGCATTAATTATAATTAAGCAAAGGCGTGGGAAGGTTCGACGAGTGCAGGAAGTATGGAAGGCAGTGATGTCAACTTGGGGGATTTTCCCCTAAATTTAGCGTTTTTTTGCAAGTAGTGGGAAACTTTTGGGAGATGAATTTTTTTAAGTTATTTTGTTGTGGATTTTTTATTTATCAAAACATAATATATATTATTTAAAAAACTAATAAAAATAATTAAATTCTTAAAAATTTATTAAATATACTGAAGCAAGGTATACGAAGTTTTGGAAGTTTAAACCAGAAAAGTGTACAATGAAAATTTAAAGTTGTACTATAGATATAGATTCACGCATCTATATTGTAGTCTACGTCTCTGTGGAATTTACTGTTTAAAATGTTGACAAGTTCTGAGTCTAGTAAGAATTAAGTTTTGTATTTTAAACACTGCACAATAACTCTGGATTTATTTTAAAACATGATGAACACAAGCAATAAAATGAAAAGCTTTAAGGAAACAAAATATGTTCAAAAATATTCCAAAGAATGGGATGATAGGTTGAAAGGTTAGTTTTTTATATTTTTAATAATTTCTTTTCTATTTCCAATAAAATTCAATATGATATGTTCAATTTGATTTTCAAAGAGTTTTTTAATGAACAGAACTTTTTTTCAATATTATTGTAGATTGGTTAGCTCCTGATCCTACTGGTGATAGTACGAAAGCATTTTGTAAATATTGCCCTACTATTTATGCAGCGCGTAAAAAAGATTTAATAAAGCACACCTCAGCAACTAAACACATAAATGCTGTTGAAAAAAAACAAGAGAAAACGTGTCGTTCGTTGCCAGTTATAAAACCTCCAGACACTAAAGTTAAGGTTGCAGAACTTCAGCATGTAGCTTTTATAGCAGAACACACATCGATTATTAAAATTGATTGAGTTGTTAAAAAAAACTTAGCCTGATTCGGCAATTTTGGTAAGATGGGATTGCATCGCTATTAAAAAAAGAACTTCCTGATATTATAATTATTAAATGTATCTGCCACTCTCTACATCTATGTGCTGAAAAAGCTGCAGAAACACTGCCTCGTCAACTGGAATATCTTGTCAGGGAAGCTCATAATTGGTTTTCCAATAGTCCAAAATGCAAAGACGAGTATAGATTACTTTACAATGTTATGAATAAGGCTAAGGATCCGAAAAAATTGCTGGTCTGAGCGGAATACGATGGTTTGCAAGATATTCAGCTATTAATACTATTTTGAGCAGTAGGATGAATTATAACTGAGCTAGCTAAAAGTAACGAGAAATGTGTACAAGCGCAGTTCTTTTAAGATATAATGGTTTGTCCATCGTATAAGCTATTTATTGTTTTTTGCACTGTAATTTAGAACTATTGACTAATTTAAATAAGCTGTTTCAAAGACTAATGTAGTGATATTTAAACTGCTTGAAGACTTATTTTTTTATATAAGAGTATTCTACAAAAAATTGTTCCAACTCAACCATACAAAGTTAAAGATGACGATTTAATTACATTCCAGTTTCAAAATTATCTGATGCATACATCATCAATTATTTTTGGTTACAACTTTGATCAGGCAGCAAAATCAGTTCCACTAAATGAAAAATCCATCGTGATCGATGTAAAGAATTTTTAGTAAAATTATGTACTGAAATCCATGAACGATTACCTGTTAATATTGCACTCTTAAAATCATTTAATGTTCTTACACCGTTATACGCTACATCACAAAGGAATATATTGAAATTGTTGAAGCAATTTATAAAAGAACCATTGTACGGATCGAAAGGTCACATTATGAAAGAATAAACATGGTATTCAATAAACCGTGGGCAAACACCGAAGAAACAGTTCCATTTTGGTCGAATGTTTATGAAGATCTTGATTCAGGTGGTAACAAAAGATTTAAAAATGTGGCCAAAATTTCTTTAGCACTGTTAACTATTCCTATTTCAAATGCTGTTGTCGAGAGAGCATTTTCAACATATGCTGTGATAAAAAATAAGTTAAGGAACAAATTAGCATTATATTGTATATGGTTCAGAGTATAATAATAGTCAAATTTTCTTTGCAACGAGTTTACAAACAATGTACTTTACTTTAACCTACAAAAGAAATGCTGAGAAACATACAGTTCACATGTAAGATTTTAAAAATGACGGGCTCGGAGTTTCAGGAATTGGCGCTTTAACAAACGCAATATACATACATATGTACGTATGATGATATGAACAGATTAATATATATTAATTTATTATTAAAAATATTAGTAAAGTATAATATATAACAAGAGGAATGATAAACAAAAAAAGGTAATTTTCTCATTTTTAAAGCCTTTTGAAAAATAAAAATGAATAAAAAAACATTTCTACACATCTTTGTCATTTAATTTATTAATATTTTAACTATTTATTTAATGAATTAATTATTTAATAATTTTTAATTATTTAATTTATTTTAGTTATGTCGATTTTAGCTTTAAGGTGTTTTGTTTTCTTCAAGAGTTTGGGACACTGATGGAAGGCGACACAATAAAAAGTAAATACTTTTAATAAAATGTCTTTTTTGTTAGTTGTGACCACTATTTTTCTCTTTAGAAACTTTACAAAATGTGTTTTTTCTATGAGGAGTTGGAGGATATTTTCAGCAGCAGATTGAATGAACAGTAGTGGAAGACAGTTTGATGACGCTGATGGAAAGCGATTCGACAAGTGGTCAATGGTTGAAGCGCTCAGTTCAGTTGAAGCTGAAGATGTGGTACTAACACAAAGTTTTGTGATAAACAATAATGTGCACATTCGAAGGCAGAAGGGAATTTATTCCAAATATTGCAAGATTGCAAAGATGAGGAAGCAAAAGTTAGAGATAGATGTGGCAGCAAAGGAAAGAGAAATGTCAATTGAAGGAAAAGAACTAGAGTTAAAGGAAATAAAAATAGAGCTAAAAAAACGAAAAATCTACCATAAATTAGAAATAGAAATAAATTAAAATAATGCAGGAGAGGGTAGCACTGGAGGAACTTAGACTTAAATATATTGTAAAGGATTTTATTATTTATTACATTTTTAGTTCACATTTGTTATGACGTTATTTTTTGTGTTTGAAATGAAGTTTTAACGTTAATATAAATTTTGTTGTGGTATTAATAGTTATTAGACCTATTGAAGTATATATATGAAGCATTTTGATTTTGTATATAACGAAGCAACTAATTTCTCCTACATAGTATTTCCTGATGTTAAAGGAAATTAAGTGTCGAAAGAATCGTTCGGGATGGTTCGCAAGAGAACAATTTGAAAATATTTTCGCATCATGTATTTGCTTGGGTAATAAATCGTTACCTACCTAATGCGCAATTTATAGTCGCAAATCGTTTGTATATTTACAGAATATTGAAGTTTACACGAATAGAAAATTTCGTGCTGCATAACTGGAGCTTCGGCTAATTTTATTTCGGAACCATCGATGTAGCCTACATACCCTGACATTTATTTCGCAGTTGCGGACACAATCTTCAGCCTTTCTCTTTCATTGGGCCAGTATAAAAACTAATATTTTACCCGTAAAATGGCTTTAAAATCTCATTGGGATATATTTTTAATAGTGGCTCCATCACCCACACCGAATAAGGAAGCCGCTTTGCGAACAGATTGTCCATCGCCGGAAGATCCCAACCTACACACTAGCACTATTTTGAGTTGAGATTCGATTGAAAGTCGTGTAGCACTTGAACTTGTTTTAAAAACAGCGTCAATTTTAATTAACGTTAAGATACGTTCGAATTCCCGAACACGAATCATCTGATTGAATCTGCGTCAAGATTCCTTATGACATTTCGCTGCCAACTGGAACATTTTGGTAAGCCGAAATCAACGCTTCTTCGGTTGCGCAGCAAACAGGTCATGCTGATTAAAAAACTTTCAATAGCTTCGTCTTCTTTCTCTCCTGCCAAAGTGTAAATATTTGTATTGAATAAAGAAATGTATGCAGATACTTACTTGATTCATCTCCTAATAAAGTCAATGCATGATTTTTACATAAAAAAGCTATAATTTCTTAATTTTTCACTATCTGCTGATGAAGTGTAGAAATACTGCACAATAAGACATACAACGATTAAGAGGAGCTCACAAGTGTTGTATTTTTTGAGACTATACGACATAAGACAAAGCTTGTGAATTGCCTAATAATGGTAAATATACGTCAGTTGGTTTGCCTACACCTACAAATTGCTAATCTCGATGTTTTTGTTCCTTTTGAAGAAGAATTTATTTATTTATCGAGCTTTATGATAGCAGGTTCAAATGTGTTTTGTTCGACAGCCCATGCAGGTTGCGGAAGAACATTCACAGAAACTTCTATAATTCGTAAATTGAATACCCTTAATCTTCAATGTATTTCCTGGGCATTTAGTCGAATTGCTTCCACTTTATTAAATAGTGGAAAGACACTACATACTGTTTTTAAACTACACATAAATATGATGGAAAGTGCAGTACCTAATATAAAAAAAAGCTATAATACCCTTCACAAATACAGAGGCTCCTTACAAGAACTTGATTCCGAACGTTCAATTTGTATGGCAGATATATGATCTGATCTGATCTGACCAATTTCTGCGGAGAATAATTTGTTGCCTTAAGCGATAACTCGTGCCTAATTTCGTGAAGATACCTCGTCAAATAAACAAATTTTCCATGCAAGCACTTTACTCCGATCGTTCAGTTTTTATGGTGTAAATTAAGTCTACATGATATTTTTAGAGATATTAATGAAACCATTTATCAGATAGAATGTTGAAGTCAGTTGTTTTAGCTTCAACTAATGAAGGTTATCGGCTTATCAATAGCGATGTATTCAATCGCATCGCTGGTGAAATAAAGGTTTATCACGGTTTTGACACAATTATTTGCGAGGGTAATAGCAAGGTGGACTACTATCCAGTAAAATTTTTGAATACTTTCATTGTAAGTGGTTTGCCACCACATAAGTTGGAGCTCAAAATTAATGCGATAGTTTTGTTAATTCGAAATTAATATACGAAACAAGCATCAGTGAATAGGACGAGAATGCGTGTCAAAGCAAAGCATAATAGCACATTAGATTGTGAAGTGCGCACTGGAGTTACTCGAGGAAAACGTATTTTGATTCCACGCATACACTTTACGTATTCAAGGACTGCAATTCCCATTAATTTTCAAACAACACAGTTTCCAGGCATCACCGCATTTGCTATGATAATAAAAAAGCAGCCAGTATAATTAGATAATTTGACGGGCTTAAATTGTATGTCAGTAATGATGGTGGACAAGGTCATTTTTCTAATGATGAAAGGGTGTTTACCAAAAGTATTGTTTACACTAAAGTTTTGAGAACTTTGCAATATAAAATATAGAATTATTATCATGCATTATTATAATTTTAGGTTTATTTCAGTTTAAATGTTTTTCAATATTTTAATTTTTTACATTCATTCATATCCTAATTTTAATTCTTTGTTTCTTACTTTCACTGTATACAGGCGTGCATACAGGCATTTCGTGATGACAAGGGATAGGGATTCATTTGGCAATTTACGACGGGAGCAAAATGTTGTACAAAGTCGCATTGTCGAAATTGTGGCTTCATTAAAGAATGAACGCGATCAACTAAAAATTGAACGTGCTTCATTGAATAATAACTGCGATCGATTGAAGTTGAATGCGATCAATTGAATGATCAACGCGATAAATTGCGTCAGAATGTTGAATTTCTTCAGAAGTTGGTTGGTGCTGTTCTACGAAATTGCTGATTTCTATGAGGATAACTTTCTGATATTACCTAAAGAATAAATGAACGCAGCAGAAGATAAGATAATTTCTTTGTTGAAAAGATTTGAAAATGCGGCATAAGGTCGAGACGTTATCGGTAATGCATTCAAACAATTTATCAATATTTTAAACTAATTACTTTGGCATTCTCGGAGGTGTATATGACGACAAAATCAAATTGGCCGATTTGATTTGATTGTTCATTCAAGGAAGAATTAAGCCACAACCAGAAACAGAACAAATAATTTTGCACGAGAATGAAATTAAATTTTTAATTTTTTTTAATTTTATTTTTGTAAATTGTTTTCTACAGCTTTCTTTATATTTTATTCACATTTTATTCATATTCTTAAATAAAATTTAAATACTATTAACATTGATAAAAAATTTTATTTTCTATTGGTTGAATTTCGACCACTGGCGACCCCAGTATTCATAAAGATTCGATGGCTGATGATATATTGTATGGACATCGTTCACCAAATCGGAATGCAGCTGATTTAATCAACATTTATATAAATCGTGAAGGGCAGAATGGTACTGCCTTACTGGCAGCGACTGTTACTCGCAAAGCGTGGTATGTCGCAAAGTACCACTACTAAATGATGAACAAAAATTACCGCATTGTGCTGGCAGTTTTCGCAGGGCAAGGGTATTCGTTTTTTTTTTTTGGCCGTTGCGTCATTAAATTTTCAAAACAACCCAAATGCAGTCTGCAACATTAAAAAGCAATCGTCCATAGTCACAGTGCTGAAACAGTATGTGGAGCCAAGATGGCCGACTTTTAACCGGAAAATGGTTGCATATTGCTATTTTCTTTTAAATTATGAAAAAGTTGTCCAAAAAATATTGGTTATATGTAAAACTTTAATATTTTTTCAAAATAAAATCAGTGTATTTTAATATATATTCTTACAGGAGCGGCTATTATTGGCAAATACCAGAAAAATTAAGATACATATTTATTCCTTTTTTCAATTGTGGTAAGTTAATAAAGATTAACCACAGAAAAATGTAAGATGCAATTAAGCAACCATGTCAAATAACGGGGTCCAGAAAATGCTTATTCAACGAAACTGGAGACAAGTTTTATAAATTTTAACAGAAATAATAATTATATTAAAAACAATACTCGAAAACAACTCACCTTAGTAAAAATACGTCAGTATTGCTATTGAGCACGGCGTAACAGTGTTGCTTAATTATAAAGTACATTTTAGGAAAGAAATATATCTGCCGTATTTTATACTATAAAGATATTGCAAATTCAACCAATAATTTATATAAGAAGGCTATATATTAAAAAATTAAACTAAGAACTATATAATAATATGGTAATTTTTTATGTCAAGAGTTGTAATAAAATATTGTGCAAACATATATCTACCGCTAAATGATACACATATATGAATAATAAAACGTAAATAAAATTTGTGATTAAATAAATCTATACTTAAATTAGAGAAAACATCGGCACAGTACTATTTTTGATATAGACAGTTTCCAGTTACCAGAGGACTTGGAGTCATAAAAACTATCGATTTGTGAATTATCGAATTGACTTTTGAATAAATTAGATATGCTGGCATAGATTGGATGTCGGTTATTTTGCTTCATAATTTGAACGCCCACGGCTTTACAATGGCACAAAATTAGTAATAAAAATATTGAAAAACATTATCGAAGCCGAAATTTGAATGGCAGGTTCCGAGGCAAAATGTATTGCTGCCACGAATTCCCATGATTCTTACAGATGTGCCAATTGAATTCAAACGCACTCACTTTCTCACGGACAACTTATGTGGCATGTTCTCGCTTGATAAACCATGCAGCTTGTTTGTATTCTCTAAACCGGACCGACGAAAAGTATTGTACACTCCATTGTGTGTGAGATCAATATTTGTTTAATTTTAATTGCCATAACTAGTGGTAAAAATTAAATATTTTCGATGAATAGATAGCTATCAATAATTGTAATTAATATTTATTTGACCAAACAGATTGCTATATTGAAAATCCTTGAGAACAAAATATTTTTGGAAGAAGTCATTGACCTCACTTTGGCATCAAGCGAAATAGCTATCCAAATCTCTGAATGGAGGTTCTTAACAGCCATTCCTTCTCTGATCAAGGTATTATTAAGTATATTAGTTTTAACGTAAACAAAACAGGTCGGAGAATCTATATGAACTTTAAGAACACGGATTTGAACCTTTGCGGCCATAAGCTTCGATCAGCTCATACGGTTGCGCCAGGTCTTTGCTCAAAATCTGTCAGCGCGATTGATGAGTGTGTCGCGATCTTCAGTTCGGTGTGTAGGTCGTCCTGAAAGCTCTTGTCCTCTGAAAACTCAGACAGGAAACGGAAATCCTCTTGATAGACACCAGAGTTGTGGAAATCAGATCTTCAAGCAGAAGGCTGTTCCATAAAGCCCTCCAAAGCGGCTGAGTATAGATTGGGTAATGTATAAAGTCGGACTAGCTATATATAAAACGGAGATTAGGAAGGGCAAAAGGAGCCTTCTGCAAAAGCTTATCTGAGAGATAAGTCTGGAAACTGAGATGTGAGTAGTGAGGAATCACTACGGCTACTCCTGGACGCTTACTTTCGTTAATCCTATCTAGAAGTAGCACCCTGGAATATTCTTAAGAAGCTATGCAGCCTTCTCAGACCTTCTGCACGAGCGCAGGAATGGGTCGTCACGTGGCTCGCCCACTGTGGTTAGTTTCTTATATTTTAGCAGTGTTATATTTGCGAGTTTATCGGTTCATTATTTTATTATTTAATTTGCGTTGCGGTAGTATCGGTGAATAGTTCATTACTTGCGTTTTCGTAATTATATGCGGTTGGCAGAAAACATAAGTTCACCGAGATCTTGTTAACTTTCCGCCTTGAGTACGGAGATCAACTACTCGTATATGACCGTCGGAACCATAATGAAGTCTTTCTATGCATTCTGTGGGGCGTCGACAACCGTAATGGGTGATGACACAATTTTGTAGCTTGGCGCCTTTTCTAGACTCTTCCATCTGTACCTTTTAAAGATCTTATATACTATTCCTTGCATCGGCGGCTGAAATCATGATGGAGAATCTTAATTCCTTCCCACGATAAAACGATAGCGACTCCATCCGGCTAGTTTGTGACCTGAATGGCTGCTCCTTTCAAAATGCCCTGAAGTTATAGCTGTGAGGTCTGAGAGGTCTAGCGAGAGTGTTGTGAGTGGCCGTATATTAAGAACGGCTTCAATTTGAATTAATAATGTTGTGAATTCTTCATAGTTCAGCCATTTTCTTGAAGTGTGAGTTTAAGCTTTTTACAGCTGATTCTCATAAAAACCATATAAGGCCTTGAGGAGCGAACTTCTGCACAATATCCTTTGCCAGCTACTTTCATGAAGTGGAAGTTGAAGCTTTTTACAGCTGATTCCCATAAACAACACATATAAGGCCTTGGGACCGAACTTCGCACAATATCCTTGGTCAGGTTGGTACAGAGCCGAGATGCACTAATTTTGCCGTAAAACAGACAAAGACAGCCACAAAGCCTTTCATTATGGTGGGAGACCTTAGCATGGATGCCTTTATCTGCAAGACCTAGGAAAATCGACACCTGTAATTGTGAAGGCAGGAGCGAAGTTGCAGCGTACCGTTGGAGGTGCTGCCATAATCTGCGTTTGCAACTTCTGCTTATGAATAGTGCAGATCGTGCACATGCAAATGAGTTTTTATTTGGGGCTTAGGACCCATTAAGCGATGTTCAGCGTGAAGCATAAGTAAATGGATATAGCTGAGGAGTAATGTGGCAAGTCGTATGGGGTATTCTGGAGGAACTCCTTAACTTTAAATTTAAGTCGCTCTGTGGACTTTAACATTTAGGCGACTACTCCGAGGCCTCGATGGAACAATGAAATGTTCAGGGATGTCAGTACCGTCCAATGATGTGTAAAGGAGTCGATTTTCAACCTTCTTGGGCAATTATATTGCGCATGGAGGATTGTGGCCAAGAATCGGAGATTCTGTTAACCAGCGGGGCCATTGCACAGAGGGTGGTGTTAGTAGGGTGCAGCGGTTTGCACCTCTTGTACCTAGATCGGCAGGATTGTCAGCACTGGCAAGTATTTGAAACGTTCGATTAGAAATGTACGTCTTTCATGCTAGTGGTGTTTTTAACCAAGCAAAAACTAATTTCAGAATTGGACCAGACATCATATTTCTTTTGCTAAATGGCTCCCACCATGGAAGCTAATTTTGCAAGTAGTAGCGCGCCACAAAGCGCAAGTCGACGTAGACTTAGCATTTTTCTAGAAGCCACCTTTGATTTTCTACTAATAAGTGGCTTGTGAGCGCGTATTGCTTCGTGTGTGCACAAAAGATAGTGACACAATATGCCTTCTCAGAGGCGTCACAGACGGCGTGTAATTCGGCTTAGTTTACGGGGAATAGTTTACCCATCGTGGATTGTATCTCAGAAATGCCTTCCAGACTGCGTTGCGAGTTGGGTCCATTTTTTATGCGAAGTGGTTTTACTTGTTCGTCCCAGTCGGTTCCGTCTAGCCATAATTCTTGTATCAATATTTTCGTCTGTACCATAACTGGCGAAAACATCCTGCCGGGTTGAAAAGTTTTACCACAGAGGATAAAATTGGTAATTTGTTATGACGAATAATGCAGACATTAACGCTATAGTGTATGAAACTGATCGGATATCGCATACTATTGAGTTTTTATACCTTCCTTTTCGAATTTAAGAAATTAATGTCCAACAAGTTTCCATGCTCCATTAAATACGTATTTAAATATACGCCAATTTAATAAAAAAGCATTAATTAAATCTGGCTGAAGCTGAATCCCTTTCTAAATAAAATATTATTTAGGAATTCACCGATGCAGGTTATATAAGTAGTATTTACTTGTATGATCTTTTCCGGACCAGGGCTGACTTCCTCCATGTGGTCTAAATGGAGGTATTCCTCTACAACAAAAGTCTTCGCAATACTGATATTTTGGGTGTTGTAATTGAAACGGAGGAGTTCTTCTCAAAATTTCTTCAATTAGGAATTGAGGTATTCGTTTGAGATTTTCTCATCTTGAGTTGTCATTACCACCATGACATCCGTATTTAGTCCACTTAGGTTCCTACCAAAAATAGTATTTTGTGCCAGAAGCGTATATATTCTTCTCTTCTAGTGTTATCGTTGGTATGAGATCGCTGCCTAATAGAAGATGTTTTCGGGCGGCGGTGTTGCAGTTGGAATCTGCTAGCTTTCGAGTGTAAACCTTTTGCTAATGCTGTTATTTATGTGATAGCTTGAAACATATTTGTTAGATGCGGCAAGAATATAGCTTCTGCTTGAATGCGCTTATCAACTTTGGGAAATTAGGGTAATGGGGCAGATGTTATTTGAGTTTTAAGCTACCTTCCACCCATTCCCGTGATTCAAATCAAACAGCAACCACACCAGCGCACCAAATCCACAAGACGCACAAGCACACGCACACACATACTCATATTGTCCTTAAAACCTCTTGGTGGAAATCAAAATGGGTCGCATGATTTATAATAAACCGTTTAAATAATAAAACAAAAAAAAAATGTTGTCAAACTGTTTTAATAATCGGTAAAACCTGAAATACCGCTAACAGGTAAAACAGTTTGATAAAATACATATATACTGTACATCCAAATATATATCAAATTTAATTGCCTTTGTATGTTTACCGTTGTGTTAAACACACAAAATATCTCAAGAACAAAAATGCAAGTATTTACTTGCACAATTTCCGCAAAACCCGTTATCCTTGATCAAATATAAGCAGGATTGCTTACAATAAGCTAAGGCAAATCAAAAGCATAGAAAAAAGATAAAATTCAACAACATAATTCCAAACATACGTACTCCTAGATATATGCTAGTAAAATGTTACTATATTTATATTTTATTATACAATATATACATATTATACGAAGAGTATAATTTCTACATTTATGTATAACATTAATACTTACATATTATATTTCTAACATAATACAAATATACATATAATATTAATATGAACTAGTTATATACACACTCTATATATATACATATATTCAAAGCAACAATATAACAAATATATAATATATATACATAAAAATACGTTGTATTAATTACCTTTCGCGGCCTCTTCGTACAGCTAATACATCATAAAAATAATAATATGAATAATTTGTTCCAAAACAAAAAACAGCAAAAATCTCTGCAACGAGCACTCAATTGCACAAGTACATAAATACATAACCTGCATACACCTGCATACCCCTACATAAGGACATAAAAAAAAATAAATAATAAATAAAAAGTGCGGTTGTTAATTAACTATTAAATAAAGTTGAATTGAAAATATAAATAATTTGAGGCGGTACCAATAAATGCGAAATATGCATATTTTACTCATTTAATTTGAAAACAAAACTCTTATTAACTAAAAAG